TGTCATGTTTGACAAACCATGTCTCCAGCCTCCAAATTACCAGTCTCAAAAAACATGGTTTGATTCTTTTATTTCTTCACTTTGTATTAACTTGTTTTTCCCAGTGCTGGGAATCAAAAGACTTCTAAGGTATCTTGCATGCTAGGCAAGTGCTCCTCCTCAGAACTACATCCTCAGCCCTACTTTCCATTTGAAAGCCTCAGCAGCTTCCTAATAATAATGTACTTATTTCTTCTCAGTCACTTTTCTTACTGATGTGATCTAGTACCTAACAAGAAACAACTTAATGCCAGAAGGATTTATTTAAGCCCAAGGTTAGAAACAATACAGGCAGGGAAGGTATACCATTAGGAGTGTAAGGTCACATTATATTCACAGTCCGGAAGTAGAGCGAGATGATTACTGATGTACACCTGCCCTCATCCTTTCCCTCTCTCTTATTCAATCTGGGATCTCAATCCAGTTAATTATGTAGACCACATTCAGCATGAGTCTTCTCTCTTCAGTTAAACCTGTCTGGCAATACTCCCCCAGACATGCCCAGAAGGCATGCTTTGCAGGAGATTCCGACTCAAGTAAAGTTGATGATGATGGTTAGCCGTCACATATTTTTGTTTTTTGAGATAGTCTCATGTATCCCACACTGGCCTTAAACTTGCTGTGTAACCAAGGAGAAGCCTAAACACCTGACCCTCCTGCTTCTACTTCCTAAGTACTGGGATTACAGGCATTTTTTACCAGGCCTGGCTCACAATTACTTAAACAATTTAAAAAAGATTCATTTTATATGTATGACTGTCTTGCCTGTATGTATGCATGTTTACCATGTACATCCTTGGTGCCTGCAGAGATCAGAAGAGGGTATTTGACACTCTGGAACTGGAATTTAAAATCGTTGTGAGTCATGTGGGTGCTGGTAACAAAACCACTGAACCATTTCTCCAGCTCCATGATGTTTTTAAGAGAGTTTTAGGGATTGGGTGGTGGGATGGGGTTAGGTGTTGCTGAATGGTAGAATGCTTGCTTGGCGTGTGAAAAGCCCTGGATTTGATCCTCATCACCACAAAACAAATAAATGAGTTTTCTAGTATCAGTTATTCTGTCTGATAACTCCTATAAACTACCAAAACAACACAAAGATAGTTAATACTTTTAGGTTCCTTCATGTTATAAATAGATTCTCATATCTAGAATGGATACAACATCTTTTAAGACCATGTACCAGTTTTTTTTTTATTTCAGAAAGTATGGTCACTGAGCCACTAACTACCAGATACCAGAAATAATCTGGAGTTGGATTGAGTGAAAAAACATAGCATATAGAGTTTTCTGGCCCTGCATGAATTTTATATTAAGACTCTGTCTAGCCAGGTGGTTTACTATTGGCTGCACTTGGGTCTCAGTTTGTTCTTTTTAGCCTGTTCTCCAGGTACCTTACTTAAGGTGATCTAGCCTTTCATGCTGGCAGCCATAACTCAGCATAGCTAGTAAGTTTTCACTTTCTTAGTTCTCTCTCTTACCTTCAGAAAATTTTCTTCTGTTTCATGTAAATAATAAGGGGAAATACATTTATTCCTTGACATGATTAACTGATACTTGATGTGTGCTAATATAGATGTGGGAAGCATGCTAATAATGATATAGGGGTTGGTGTTAAAAAGGCTCAGTTAGGAGATAACTACTATATATTTAATCTACTTGTACTTTAATCTGCATCAGACAGTTTTCTGATGAGCATAGAAGATGTCAAATAATTTTGAATTAGATTGAGTAAAAAATATCTTTTTTAACTAAAATAATAGAGTTTTCTGACCCTGCATGAATTTTATGTTAAGACTCTGGGCTAGCCATGTGGTCTACAATGTCTGGGTCTATTGATTCCTACTGCCTAGCAGAAAATGCCTTATGCCTGGCAATGAAAGTGTGTGTACCTACAATGTATCATTCTCTAGTACTTGGTAACTACAGATGCCTAAACTACCCTACCAAAATCCCAAGACTTACATGGTAGTAACAAATCCTTCATGTATAACAGTCCTCACATTCTGTCTTCTTCCACTCCGTCCCAAATTTCTTCATGAATTTGTAAAAGTGTGCTGTTCTATAACCCATGATAGCATGAGGTTAGCATGTCTGTTATAACATCTAAGTTTTTTAATGAAAGAATGTTTCAAACTATCTTTGTTCATAGCATTTGGCATAGTGCATCTATTGACTTGATGAGCATATACATGCTCTTCCCAATTCTCTGAAGAACAGGTTCAACACTGAGTCATGGAGATCTTGGGAGCCAATGTGTGAGCTCCATGAGTTCCATTAATTCAGTGCTCACAGTTCTTTTTTGTTTGTTTGTTTTTGTTCTTTAAGACAGGGTTTCTCTGTGTAGCTTTGTAGACCAGGCTGGCCTCGAATCCAGAGTGCTGGGATTAAAGGCATGTGCCACCACTGCCCAGCAATGCTCAAAGTTCTTATAGGCAAAAGAATGTCTATAACTACATGATCTCTAGTTGACCACCATTAAAGACATACCTGGAATTGTCATCAATAGTAGAGTGTTGTCCAGAACATCTTTCAGAAATTCAGACCTCTGTCTATTTATAAGGCTTATATAAATTCTGAGTTAGCCTCTAGATCAGTGGATCTCAGTCTATGGGTTGCAACCCCACCAGGGGACGCATATCAGATAATTTGTATGTCATATATTTACATTATGATTTATAACAGTAGCAAAATTATAGTTGTAAAGTAGTAATGGAATAATTTTATGGTTGGAGGGTCACCATAACATGAGGAACTGTATTCAAGGGTCACAGCATTAGGAAGGTAGAGAACTACTGCTTTAGATTATAAAAAACTGATTTAGTGGAGCCCATTCTATATGGAGAGATACCTTGTTCAGCCTAGATACAGTGGTGTTGGGGGTTGGTCCTGCCTCAATGAGATGATGGGACAGACTTAGTAGACTTCCTAGGAGAGGACTTACCCTCTTTGAGGAGCAGATGTGGGGGGCGGGGTAGGAGGAACAGAGGATTATTATTTTTTTGTTTGTTAAAATATTTAATTTTATTATTTACCTATGTGTGTGTTTTGCCTTTGTGTGTGGGTATGTGGGTCCCTGTGGAAGCTGGAAGAGGGTGTTGATCACCTGAAACTGAAGTTGCAGGCTATTGTGAGTCACCCAAAAATAGATGCTGGAGCTCATTCTTATCCTTTGTAACAGCAACAAGGACTCCTAACCACTGAGATATCTCTCCAGTTCTATGCACTATTTTTTCTTGGCTGCATATCTTCTACCTAACTTGAAGTAATATATATGATTCAGTAGCCAAGTACTTGGAAACGGTAAGTGATAAAAGACTGGGAGAAAAATAAAAGGCACAATTACAGAATTCAGAGTTTATTTAAGATTTATTTATTCCTTATTTGTCTGTATGGTATGTGTGCCTTTGTGAGTTTATGTTCACCACATATGTACAAGTGCCAGGAGAAGCCAGAAGAAGGTTCCGGACCACAAGAACTAGAGTTACTGATGGCTGTGAGGCAACATGTGGGTGCCAAGAAGCAACTATGAGTCCTCTACAAGAGTAGTCAGCCCTATTGACCTCTTAGCCATCTCTCTAGCCCCAGCATAAAGATTTTAAATAAACAAAACAAAATCAAACATACAATGATATTGAAATGGTAGGTAGCAGTTCAGGGCCAGAACTTTGGGCCTAGGCTGCCTAGATTTAAGTGAACCCCCAGCCTGCTAGCTGGATAACCTTGGGTAAATTATTTAGTCACTCTGTACCTGTTTCTTCATTTGAAAGATAAGGATAATAATAGTGTCTACCTCATCAATGGTAAGCTCAAATGAATTAAATCATATAAGATATACAGCAGTCAGTGCCTGGCACATAGGAGTACTGGCTATGCTTGTTGGTTTTGCAGGGGGGTTGGTGGAATCACTGCTATCAAGGCAGACAAATGCCACTTTAAGTCTGTTTGCAGTTCTCCTGTAGATTTGTTTTGCAGTTTCCCACTCCAAGTGAGTAATCTTTATGTCTTGGCTTCTCCATAAATGGTGCTTACACCTTCTTTGTAGAACCCAGAACACTGGACCCTAAATTAAAGAAAGCTTTAATTTAGCTGAAAGCTCTTTTATAAAAAAAAAAAAAAAAAGCAGAGACCTCCTTTGTTTTACTCAGGACAAGCAGCCTGGATGGATAAGCCTGGCTTGCACAATAGCTCTTAGCAACTGTTGTGGGGAATATAAGGCAGATGGTAGCAGGCGCTCTGTGGTTTGGGTTGCCTATGTACCTTAGACCTCTGTGATCTTGGATAGCAATTCCTCTATTCTCTTAGACCCAACCTGACCTGCAGTCCCTCAAACTGGTATCCTTTATGGATATGTGACCTGTGCAGCTGCATGAACCTCCACACTTGGTTTCCTGCTCTGTCTTGTATCCTTAGTTTTGAACAAAGGCCTAGATCTTCGTCCTACATTGTGTTGGTAACTATGTAGCCTCTCCCATCTGTGTTCATTGTGCCTATACCTGGATACTCTTCCTGCCTGCTTGTCACTAGCTGGCTTACTCTGAGTTCACTTTCTTTACCATTCCTCAGAGGAGTCAAAAGTAGATTCATGCACTATCCCTGCACCCTCACTCCTCCCCCAGAGCGCTATACCAACTTTATAAACAAATACAGTATGTATTTTAGTTGTGTGACTATTGGGAAGACTAGGCCTACAGTATAGTTGGCAGGCAGTAAATGCTGGTGTAATGAGTGAGTGGACAGGTAATTGGAGGGTATGTGCTTTGCTGTCATTGTTGTTTCTTTGTCTTTAAAACAGTGTCCAATTGACCTGATATTTGTGATAGAGTCCTTGCTGGCCTAGAACTCTCAGTGATCCTCATCACTGGTTCTAGAATTACTGGTGTGCACCCCCATAACTAGCATGCATAATTTTGTTGTTGGGTTTTTTGTTTGTTTGGTTTTGTTTTGTTTGTTTTGTTTACAAATGTTACAGGTCTCATTATCACCACTGTAACATATCTACTATGATGGAAACATGTCCAGTGTCTCAACTTAGCCATGTTAACCAGTTCTGGACACTGATTAACAGCACCCATTCTTATGTAGAATGAGGCTGATTATTTTTTTAACAGAGATATTATGATAAATTTTTCTTCTCATGTTAAAAATCTGGTGTGTGTGTTTATAATTTTGTTTTTGAAAGGCAGAAATTAGAGAATTGATCTATATGGCAAGTTTCAGACCAGCCAAGGTTGTGTAGACTCTTTGTAAAAACAAACAAACAAATAAAACAAAAACAACAGCTTTAGCAGCAGCAGCAGCAACAACAACAAAAACCTATCCCAAACCTTAAAAAGTTGTTGTATAAAACAGCAGCCTTATTGTGTTGGTACAGTTTAATAGTACTGCTGTTGATGACTTTGCCAGCCCTAGGTTCTTTAAAGGTAGATGGAACCAGTAAAGGTTACTCATTTTTTCTTTCCAATTGTTTATCTTTGTCGGCTTGGTATAGTAAAATTATATATATTGTCTTATATGTTATCCTCAGTTAAGTTTCTCATAGTGTAAACATCTCTAGCCTTCCACCTACTTGTAGATATTTTGAACAAGAGATAGATCTCTTCTTGATCCAATTGCCGATAAGGACTGACATAGAATACTACTTTAGGTTTCTTAGCGTCTTTTATTTATTTACAGAGTTAGTACAGTGCTGTTACAGTGCTTGTAGTATCGGATACTAACAGAAAACAGTGTCCCCTCTGATTCCCTGCTCATTCTTTCTCTCTTTTCAATCTCTAGTTTCAAATACACTTGATTAGCTCACTCATGATGCCCAGGTATATTGTATTCCCCTAGCCCAGTTCTGGAACTGTATTTGATTAACCTAATTCTTAGAATCAAGCCAGTACCATCCAACATGTATTCAAATTTAATGCATTATAGACTTATCTTGTAATATTAATTTCTAGAACTTGATCATCATTCTGTTACTCTACAAACACTATACTAAATTTTTAAGTGATAAATTTCTAACCCAAAAGTCCTTTAAAGATGGAATTTTACCCGAGAGGTTGTTATAGATTTTGAGTACTTCTCCTAAAAAAGAAATCAAAACATTTGGTATGGTCTACCAACTTAAGATATTACTGCTTCTTAACTTTTGCAAAGTGAAAAAGAATTAGAATTTTAATAATTTAGCTCCAGATGAGGGTAGCAATATAGTCACAGAATTTTTATTGCTTAATTTAAAAGCAGGCTAAATGGCTTGTAAGTGCAAAGAATCCAAAAAAGAGATTTAAAAAACAATAAAAATTTCACAGCAACTATTGCCTCCTGGGAGTGAAGAAAAGATCCCAGCACTATTTGTGTAAATCAGTACAGGGTACAGGATGCAGTGAGAACAGAAAGAAATGAGCGTAGGAAATAATGCACAAAGAAGAACATTCTCAAGGAACATGCGGGCTTCAAAAACTGTTCCATCTCAGTGCTGATGGATCCCAGTACCTTAAGGTGATTTGTTTTAAGTTATAAATCTCTTGAGTCATTTATGCTGTCAATGCTTTTTTTTCACAAGACTGAAAGGAAGAAAATATATTGTTTCAGCTTGCCTCCTCTTAAGACTTTATGGAATTTTAAACAAGTTTCTCCCAGAATTAAATTCCTCACTTATGCATATATTGACAAGGATACGAAGTTCATTATCTTCTGATCAGGAGTTGAAATAACTGTATATCCATTCTTGAGTTGAGTAGCTCAGTTAGTTGTACACACACACATACACACACACACACCACACACAATGTTTTTTAAAAATAACAAGATATCCAGTATGACTAAAACAAAAATTGTTTGTCTCTAAACTCTTTGACTAAATATCCTTATCAGTAAAAAAATAATTTTACTCTATACTTTCAGTGTATATATTCATTTTATAATAAATGCTGATCCTCTACTATAATAAAATGAGCACTAACATAGATATGTTTAAACATAGTGTAGAAAATACACAGGACAAATTATCATGGTCACCTTCTGTTCTTTTGCAAAATATGACATGGAGAAAATACAGATTAGAATTCAGTGGACCAGCATGCCCTTGCCAAGTGTCTTTCCTAAGTGTAGTGGGAAGCAATTGAAAATTTTAAGAAGCATAATGACTTATTTGCTTCTGAAACAAATTACAGTGAAAATATTTCTAGCAGAGTACCAGGACACCAAAACTAGTTTGGAAGTTATACTGTAGTCCTGATAGGAGGAGCAAGGAGTTGAACCAGGCAGGGTCCTGTCAACAAAGCCCAAAGGAAGAAGCAAGCATAAGCTATCACATATTTGAATATTAGTGAGGGAGGAAGTCAAAGGTCACTCTGGGCAACTGACATGAGCTTCCAGATAGAAAATGAACAATGGAAGAAAAGCATGCTGAGGATAGGGGTAGGGAATGAGTATGGGTCTCAAATTTCTCAAATGGGAACCATGCAAATAATGGTGTAGACATTTAGCTTTTGGATATATGGTTGAATGCAGTGGAAGTTCTAAACCAATGTCTTAGTTGGGGCTCCTAGTGCTGTGATGAAACACTATGACCAAAGCAACTTGAAGAGGAAAGGATTTGTTTGACTTACACTTCTATATAACTTTTCATCATTTAAGGAAGTCGGGAACAGGAAAGGAGCTGATGCAAAGGCCATGGAGGGGTGTGTTGCTTACTGGTTTTGTCATCATAGCTTGTTCAGCCTGCTTTCTTATAGAACCCAGGACCACCAGCCCCGGGATGGCACCACCCACAGTGGACTGGGCCCTCCTCTATTAATCACTAATTAAGAAAATGTCTTACACTTTTATGTACACATTTTCTCAATTGAGGCTCCCTCATTTCAGATGACTCTAGCTTGTGTCAAGTTGACATAAAACTAACCAGCACAACCATAAACTATAAATCTGGACATTTATAACATAGAGTTAATACAAAAATTCCTTTACTTCCAGACATTATTTATTGATAAGAATGTCTTATAATAGAAGTGCCAAGGAGTTCCACAAAAATAGTTTGCTAAATCTAAGATGACAGAAAAAAAGATTAGAAATGAACTGTAAGCAGATTGTATAAAATGTACATCTCCCAAAGCTGCTGTATCCTCAGAACTAGACAGCTTCTATTTAAACATGGAAAAGAAAGTTGAAATCAGTATTTCATGAGCTTTCATAGACACCTTGATGAGTAGACTACATCATGGAAAAAGCAGTGAATACCCCAAAATGGTTTACATACACTTAATCATTAATGAGTCCAAGATCTTGTCACAGTATGTATCATTAGTTATGAGTAACTAGGAAAAACAGTCATGTCAGAATAGATGGAAGCAAGTTCAGTGCCATAGGTTGTTACTATGAATGGAAGGGGAGGATACTTAGGAAGTTGATTACTGTTGCCTTATGAGTTAGAGATATAGAAGATATGAATGCATTCCTTTTCTCCACCCTCTTACATGATTGTGATCCTTAAGTATTAGAAGTTGTCTAATAGTCTTTTGTAGGATCTGATGTTTTGTTAATGTTTCTAATTTTATGAATAAAATATTGTTGACTAATGTCCCCTTTCTCTTATTGTTAAGAGCTCAGAGTCAAAGTAGTTTGTGTTGCTATCTAGTATGAAGGGGGCCAAGGTGAAACCACTAAGACAAAAATCTCTTCTTGGACATCTCTTGGCTCCTTTAATTTACAAACTTTTGCAAATATGATTATCCTTGACCCACTTAATATCTAGATGGATAAATTCTTGCAGAAGTGACTGAGATCTTATATTAGAAACCTTTCAGGTCACATTTAAAATTTCCGAAGACTGTGATTATATTTTATGGCTATTCATTTTATCCAGTGATTAATATACAAAATGGAGTGGTTAATATTCATCCTAAGAAATGTTCTAGTAACTACAAAGCAGCAGGTAATGGTTATTAGCTTTTCTGTGTTATTTCAATTTTTAGCACTTGAGCTTATGACTACTAAGAACATTTGCTTTGAAGAATATTAGCCTAGGTCTGTGGTGGTTTGAATGAAAATGGCTTCCATAGGCTCATACGTTTGAATGCTTACTCACAAGGGAGTGGAACTCTTTAGAAGGATTAGGAAGTGTGGCTTTAAAGGAAGTTTATCACTGGAAGTGGGCTTTGAGGTTTCAAAAGCCCTTGCTGGGCCCAGGGAGTTACCCTCTGTCTCTGTCTGTAGGTCAGGTTGTAGCTCTCAGCTGATATTCTGATGCCACGTGTGCCACCATGCTCCTACCATATTATTCACCGTGACAATAACAGACTCATCCTCCAAAACTGTAAGCAAGCCCCTAATTAAATGTTTTATTTCATATGAGTTGCCTTGGTCATGGTATCTTTTTAAAGTAATAGAACTGTGGCTAAGACAGAGCCATATTGGCTGTTTAACTTAATTTACTAAGCAGGGATTTATCTCACCATCTTTTACATACATGTTGCTTTTGAGCACAGGAGAAATGGTATCGTCTCATTGAAGAAGGAAGGGTTCCTCGGGTAGTAGATCATTATTTATCCCTGGCATACAAATGGACTTTGGGTGCCCATTCCACATGGAGGAATGCTCTCTTAGCCTGGACACATGGGGGAGGGCTTAGACCCTGCCTAAGATGATATGACAGACTTTGGAGATCCCCTATGAAGGGCCTCACCCTCCCTGGACAGTTGAGTGGTGACTGGGTAGGGGACAGGGGAACAGGGGAGGAGGGGAGGGAGAGGGAGCTGGGATTGGCATGTGAAACAAGCTTGTTTCTAATTTAAATTTAAAAAGAGGGGAAAAAGGGAGGAAGGTTCCAAAGCAAGCACAACAAGACTCCTGCTCACTGGGTGCTGCTCCCTCACTGCCTTTCACACCACACATTTCCTCTTGATCTGCCTTGTACCTTTTGATCATTTGTTGACTGTGGTAATTAGACATGTGTGTGGCCTTCTGTCTAGTCCTTCAGCCTCCTAAGTAGCCCTGACATGTTAGAGAAAGTTAAAGAGGGTAGGCTTCTGAGGACTACTGTCTGCCCACTTCTGACTGTTCATCAACTGCATTACCTTTCCTGCTTCTCTTCATTTTTCTCATTT